ATAGAGAACGTGAAGATGAAGATCCAAGCTTGGGCCCTGAGGATAAGGCGGTGCACGAAAAAGGTCCTTTGACCTTTGGTTAACACCAAAGTCAGAATGATGACGGACCACTCCATGGAGCGAAGCACCATTCCGTCGTGGATTCCCAGTGGTGCCGCATCCAATCTGCCAGGTGGATGGAGTCCCGTATTTTTTCTTTACGGGACTGGAATGATTTCATCGACGACGAAGAAACTTCCCTTAGGTCTCCTTTCTCTGGCTGTCATCGTCTCGACTCATCCGAGACATCGTGGTATCGTGAGTGAATCCATCGTGTTTCCAAACAAGATATCGGGATAAACGAATATAGGATTTTATTCACCATTGTTTCTATTGCCCTGCCTTGAATGAAATTCATAGGAGGCACGTCATAAGATGACGGCTGATAGGTCATTCTTGCTCTCAAGAGATGAATGGAATAATTGGAGGAATTAATATCAAAATATAAAAATGAATCAAGATATGTCCAACTTGTCTCCGTCATATGGGCTGCGCTTTGATTCTTCAAATCAGGTTCTCCTTTTCCACCTACAATGAAAGAGACATTAATGCGAAACAATCCTTTGCCATTTCCATTTTGCCATTGCTTTGCCATTTGCATGTCACTGCTCCTCAGAGATACAACACTGGAAAGTAAACGCTAATGGCTCAGGTAGATATCCCATGGAACACCGAACGTGTGCTGCATCTCCCAACCGTGTGAATTTCGACACGTTCAAAAGTCGCTTTCGAAGTGACGCCCTGGACAGGACAATAATACCGTGTCAAGGGATGCGCCCTCGGTCGAGACTGCCTCACTCGAAGGATGTCACATCAGTGACTGTCATTCCCTTCGAAAATTCTCAATTGAGATGTCCACATTTCCGAAGAGTCTTCGTGTGCAACCGTACAGTTCATCTCCGCGATACTTTCTTCGGCTCTTCTTTTGGTATCTCTAAAAATTGTGCGAATGAATTTCAATTCCTGTTCCAAGCGTGATTAAAGCGTTCATGCAGATCTACGAGAGGCATGCCAAAAGTAATGAGCCCTAGTTTACTAGAGATCACTATTCGGACAAGCTTGAGATTTTATTCGCAAAAAATATTGTTTCCGCTACTGATGGATATCAGGTATTTCATTGTTCATGCCCAGATGGCAGCACGTTAGACATTGAAAATGGCGCCTATTATGGAAGTTGTACTGAAGCAAGAAGCCCCGATGGAGTTCCTCACAAAAGAACATGCACCCCCTGAAAACATTTTTGTGTGACAGCAGAATGTGTTTATTGAGTCTAGCAACATTTATGCAAGTATCAAACAGTGGGTTCTTCATTTCGACGGTGAAAACAGCTACATCGAAGACGACCCGCGTTCAGGCAGGCCGTCCAGCGCTGTGACACTTCGCGAGCGAAACGGGTGTTACCCGATACCCTCCCTCCCTGTCACGTGACAGTCAGTCGACGACCATTTCGGGTCAGTTCGTCCACGTGCGTTTTCCTGCCGGGTGTCAGCGCTGGGTGGCCTGCCTGAACGTGAATTGTCTTCGATGCCATTGTTTCCACCGTTGAAATGCAGAACGCACCGCTTCACGCTTGCGTAACTGTTGTTAGACTCACCGTACGCATTCTGCAGTCGCAAATGAATGATTTCGAGGGTTACATTTTCTTTTGTGAGGAACTCTATCGGGGCTTCTTGCTTCAATACAACTTCCGTAATAGGCGCCATTTTCAATGGATAATGTGCTGCCACCTGGACATGAACATTGAAATTCCTAATTTCTATCAGAAATTGATTTATAGAATATAATGAAATTGAATTTGATACGCCATACCTGAGATTCCGTGGATTTCACAGCGGAAAACCTGAAGGTTTTCGATTTCTGACATTTTCCCATGATGAAGCTGAGGACGAAGATGAAGACGGCATCGAGGACGACCTGCAATGTGAAGCTCACGGTGGCGATCGTCACATTTTCCCTTTTCTCGAAGTCCCAGCCAGAGTGTCTTTGGGAGAAGATGACTGCCATCTGGGAGTACCACGTCCCTTGCAGAAGAAAGGCGTAACATCGGAANTCAAGATATGTCGATTGACACCTGTTTTGGTTTGTAACGGGGGGGGGGGGGGCAGCGGTTCCTTAGAAAGTTGGCATCTTCAAAAAGGGAGATTCAGTTTTCTTCACAACCCGAGGGAGATAGAACTTCAAATTTGTTGGAGCGATTCTGTGTTGAGATGGGAAAAAGTCTGCTCAATTTCGTACCTGTAGATCCTCTCAGAGAGGAATACGAGGAGGTTGGATTTTGTGACGGGAAGGGGTTGAAGAAAGGGAATAGGCGCTACCAAAGCCTATTGATATACCGAGTTTCAGCTTTTTCCGTCCATTGGACTGTGTTGTACATGTTCATGCATCGGTTTACTTTGGAAATGGGTCACAATGGTTGGATCTTTTTTTTTTTTTTGCCTCGGAAAAACTGCTATCGGTTCTTTCCGGCTGTTCCTTCCAGAAAGGTCTAGGTTTTCCTTAAAGGCGGGTGGATATTCTTGTCCCGTACGTGAAGAAGAGACTTGATAATAACCCTGCATTCTCAAATATGGTCCTTTTCATGATTGAAGTTTACCGCGAAGACCATATATGAACCATATATGCATAATGATGATGACGGACCACGTCATGGAGCGAAGCACCATGCCGTCGTGGATTCCCAGTGGTGCCGCATCCAATCTGCCTGGTGGAAAGAATCCCGTTTTTTTTTCGTGCACTTGTTAAATGTCCCGCTTGAAAAGGCGACTGCTGTTGGAGACTCGTGAGCGCCACGATGAAATCATGTTTCACGCCGTTCGGAATGTGAGATTTAATGTAATTTTTACTCATTGGATTGCTTTACGGGACTGGAATGATTTCATCGACGACGAAGAAGCTTCTCTTAGGTCTTCTTTTTTCCGGCTGTCATCGTCTCGACTCATCCGAGACATTAAGGTATCGTGAGTGAATCCACCGTGTTTCCAAATAATATATCGGGATCAATGAATATAGGATTTTATTCACCATTGTTTCTATTGCCCTGCCTTGAATGAAATTCATAGGTGGCACGTCATGAAATGACGGCTGATAGGTCACTCTTACTCTCAAGAAATGAATGGAATAATTGGAGGAATTAATATCAAAATATAAAAATGAATCAAGATATGTCCAACTTGTCTCTGTCATATGGGCTGCGCTTCGATTCTTCAAATCAGGTTCTCCTTTTCCACCTAGAATGAAAGAGACATTAATGCGAAACAATGCCATTTCCATTTCCATTTTGCCATTGCTTTGCCATTCGCATGTCACTGCTCCTCAGAGATGCAGCACTGGAAAATAAACGCTAGGAGGCTCGGGTAGATATCCCATGGAACACCGAACGTGTGCAGAATCTCCCAACCGTGTGAATTTCGACACGTTCAAAAGTCGCTTTCGAAGTGACGCCCTGGACAGGACAGCAATACCGTGTCACGGGATGCGCCCTCGGTCGAGACTGCCTCACTCGATGGATGTCACATCAGCGACATTGCCATTCCCTTCCAAAACTCTCAATTGAGATGTCCACATTTCTGGAGAGTCTTCGTGTGCAACCGTACAGTTCATCTCCGCGATACTTTCTTCGGCTCCTGTTTCTTCTGGTATCTCTCAAAATTGGGCGAATGAATTTCATTTCCTGTTCCAAGTTACGATTAAAGCGTTCATGCAGATCTACGAGAGGCATGCCGAAAGTAATGAGCCCTAGTTTATTAGAGGAGATCACCATTCGGGCAAGATTGAGATTTTATTCGCACAAAATATTAAGTTTCCGCTACTGATGGATATCAGATATTTCATTGTTCATGCCCAGGTGGCAGCACGTTCGCCATTTAAAATGGCGCCTATTATGGAAGTTGTATTGAAGCAAGAAGCCCCGATAGAGTTCCTCAGAGAAGAATATGCACCCTCTGAAAACATTTTTGTGTGACTGCAGAATGTGTATTTTGAGTCTAGCCACAGTCATGCAAGTGTCAAACAGTGGGTTCTTCACTTCAACGGTGAAAACCGACATCGAAGACGACCCGCGTTCACCAGGCCGGCCGTCCAGCTCTGTGACACTCGCGAGCGAAACGGGTGTTACCCGACGCCCTCCCTCCCTGTCCCGTGACAGTCAGTCGACGACCATTTCGGGTCAGTTCGTCCACGTGCGTTTTTCTGCCGGGTGTCAGCGCTGGGTGGCCTGCCTGAACGTGGGGTGCCTTCGATGGCATTGTTTCCACCGCTGACATGCAGAACGCACCGCTTCACGCTTGCGTAACTGTTGTTAGACTCACCATACGCATTCTGCAGTCGCAAATGAATGATTTCAAGGGTTACATTTTCTTTTGTGAGGAACTCTATCGGGGATTTTTGATTCAGTACGCCATCCATAGGACGCGCCATTTTCAAAGGATAATGTGCTGCCACCTGGGCATGAACATAGAAATTTCCAATTTCTATCAGAAATTGATGTATAGAAATTAATGAAATTGAATTTGATGCGTCATACCTGAGATTCCGTGGACTTTACAGCGGAAAACCTGAAGGTTTTCGTTTTCTGACATTTTCCCATGATGAAGCTGAGAACGAGGATGAAGACGGCGTCGAGGACGACCTGCAATGTGAAGCTCACGGTGGCGATCGTCACATTTTCCCTTTTCTCGAAGTCCCAGCCAGAGTGTCTCTGGGAGAAGATGACTGCCATCTGGGAGTACCACGTCCCTTGCAGAAAAACGGCGTAACATCGGAATAACCCGGCCATGACGTGATGCGGTTTCAGCATCTCCAGCGAGGTGGCCACGATGCCAGTCAGTATCACGTACCGAAGGGCCGCGACGGTCTGTAAGAAAGCGGAGAAGGCGAACAACTTGCAAAAAATTTCAAGCCTGTCAATTCACCAATTGACCTTCGTTACCATGTCATCCAGTAGAGATTGAGCGTGGTTGAAAGCCAGAAGGATATACTGAAGTGACAAGGCGAGGATGAAGGCAGCATAATCAGAATTAGGTGGAAGCGTTTCCAATCTCAACTCCTTGGCGAATAAAACGCAAGAGAGAAACAGAAACCCAAGGTAACTTCCAGCATGTTTTAACCCCATCAACCCCAAACCTCGATGAAAATATAATTCTCCTGGAAAATTAACAATCATCTTTAGTTGAAAGAAGCAGTTTCTTAAACACCCCCTATTTTTGATATACCAAAAAACAATCGCACCCATAAAATAATTTATGCCATACCTATGAGTCCGACGAGGCAGACGCAAGCGATGAAGATGTACTCCCATGGCAATCGCCCCGGAACGAATCGCAGTGAGTTTCGGTACCGGGCAGCGGCAGGATCCAGACGACTCCGGTGCCACCTCGCCAGGGTGTCCCATGTCATGAGGAGGCCGACGGCGAGGAAGCCGAAAGCCGGCACCGCTTTCCCTGTGGGCATCTGCTTCATTTCTACCTGAAGCTCCCGATCTAATAATTGAATATGCCTTTCACTCAAATTTCGTGTTATTGGATCATCTTGCGAGCATGAAGCCAAACATATATTAGAATAAGTCGGTACACGTTTTTAGGGAATAGTACTAAATATCCATGTAAATTTGGGCGTAGTTTTGAACGACAGTGACGGGAGTCTCTCATTAAAGGTCCCTACGCACAGAACATTTTTTTACACGAAAATGCTGTGTCGAAAGTTGTCCCTATTATGACACATTTCGAATGTGTCAAAAGTTGCCCCCATTATGACACACTTTGAATGTGTCGAAAGGTGTGTCCCCAGAGGCTCTGAAGTGGTCGAAGTGTGTCGCATCAACACACCAAAGGTTTCGTGTAAAATTAGAGCCACAGAGTGAGGTATCACAGGGATTACTTTGCTTCCAGGTCACCATGCTATGTAGGCACACGTAGCTTACAGGCGTGGTGTTCTAAGTGCCGTCAGAAAGAAACACCAGGGTTAGGTCTGGTGCCTTTTCTGATTTCCAGCTGCATTCCCGGGTCTATTGGCGAAGCCGAGTCCAAGAATCAAGAATGAAGAGACCTGGAAGTCGAGGAGGACGGATGAGTAGCTTACTGAGAAGTATCGCCCGCCCAGGACTTGCATTTTTGAGTCAGTCATGTAGTTCCACCATTAGACGCTCGGGCGTCGTGTAGTTCCCATCATTGGTCTATTTCAGATGGTTGTTAGAAATGCTATGAATGCGTTTTGCCTTCGCTGCAAAGCAGAACATTTCGTTGTTGGTAGTTTTTTCACGCATTCTCTTTGAATTGAACAAAGGTAAAGTCGAAGAGCGGAGTGACAGGCTTGGGAGTGCGCGCATGAATATATTTTTTACCCTCTCGGAACTTCTTAGGTTGAAATTGTGTCAAATCGACACACCACCATCATTTCTCCAAAATTTTCTACACACTTCTGGCCCGGAAGAGCCCCTTAGGGCTCCATGAAGCTCTTCCAAGAGTCCAAAATGTGTCATAATGAATTTTCGCCTTCGAGAAAAGAGAAGAAAGTGTGTCCAAATGACCAGACGAGTACAAAATGTGTCACTTCGACACACCAAAAGTTTTTGTCCCTTCAGGACCTTTTTGAACATGGTAAGATGTTTGGGCTAGAAAATACAATATCGGACTGGTTTCCGTAAAGATTATCTTAGTGTGAATAATCGGCACGTGGGATTGTGTCAAATTCTATCATACCTCATACAGGTCCTACAATCTAATCCCGATTCCACGCGCAAAGCCTGCGTTTTGTGAAAACCCTTGACTGTAAGTGGAGACGCGTGTAGACGTGTGTACGCGTGCGTCTGCCAAATTGCCCAAGTTTTAACGCAGAAGTTGCACGATCCGTAGAGTGTGAATGGCCCGTCGTAGTTCGTATCGAGAATGAGGTGGCCTCTCCGATCTCTAAGTTTATGACGGAAATGAATGGACTAATTGAGTGCTTTTGGACAATTCCAAATTCCAGGATGACAGCGTTTCAGGATTCAGTAGAATCTTTCCTCCAAGATTACATAGACATTTGGAACACACATTTCCCTAATCTTTAAAAGAGGGTATAAAAGCTCCAAGAATCAGCAAACTGGTCTTTTCCAACTAAGACTTAATATAAAACAAGAAACTTACAAATGGAATCTGCTCTCACGATTGACACAGCTGGAAACGGCCGAAAGAGACAGGGAAGAGCTCTCCTGGCCACGCACACTCTCCCAGTCTCGGAAGGCGAGTGCCACCCTGGAGGAGGAGGGCTGAGCGACGCGCCGAGGTCGGAATGGTCTCGAATAGGAGCTCCGCCCAGAGAGAGGATGCGGGCAGAAGGCTGGTCTCGTAGAGGCAAGCCGATTGCCTCCACGTGGGGATAGCATATTCCAGAGGTTTTCTTGACGAGAGCTGATGTTGTGTCTTAACCTTACCTAACCTAAGCCCTGTACCCATCTTATGAGCCCGTACGAATTGCGTGGGGTGATGAAGGTGATCAAGAGTAAATCAAGAGAAGTAGACTGAGTGACACGTACAGCTGAGACTGGTTTTGATGATTTTCAATTTTTATGAATAGGGAGTTAAGAGCAAACTGCCAACAAAATTTCTTGGCAGAAATCTTTCATATAAGCCTAGATATTATTCACATTTTCCTTTTTTGCTTCCAACAATTTGTAGCAGTATGTCTTATCATGGAGTTCTATGAATTTTGAGAAATTTCGTACCCTTTTTTAAGCTCTGGCTTGGAAATTCCAGATTTACTAACATTTTAGGTTTTTATAATAATATCTCAGGAACCGCTAGAGCTTTATGTAAAAATTGTGTTACAAAAATATCTTTGGAGTATGGGTTCTTCAATGCTACCTAATATTCTTATTTTCTGGGAAGAAACTTATTTTTTTTTTAATTCATTGTACCTCCTTTAACGTTAAACAATATTAAATTAACCATAAATATTTCCAAGCGAGATTTTCCATGTGAAAAAAGCAACTAGTGCTGAAAAAATTTTTTTTTACTGTTTATTCTCATTTCAAATGGCTATTAGATAGGGGAAAAGGCCCTAAAATGAAGCCATAGATAAAAAATTCTGATCGATCCAGATTGAATCCTTCGCAGCCACTGTCGCTGCGACGACCCTTCCGGATCAATGGCGGGACATCCTATTGCGTCGAGTCGCAATGATGTCAGCACGAGAAGCCCTTTTCGTATCGCGACATTTCCGCCTAGGAATGCCGCGAAAAGGGTCTCAATCATGCAAGCGCGCAAATTCCATTTCCCTTCTCGCCGAGGAAAATCGGCAGAAAGTCCGAAGGAAATTCGTTGCCTTCGGTGATGTTAAAACAGTTATTCCCGCTCGATTTTCGTCCCAAATCGGCTCTGGCAAAAGGATGGACTGTTGATGACTGCATGTCGATTTGAGATCATTACAAGCATACCAACTTCATTTTTACTTGATTTTTCTTTTCAATTGCAAATGAAAATTCCAACAGTTGTTTTGGAACACCCTGTGCTTTTCATACAGTTTCATACGCGATCATGATTGGTAATAAGGAAAAGTACGAATTACTCACAACGGATGCATTCCATGCCCGAACTCTTTATATCTGCCCATTTCGCGGCGTTGCAGAAGTCCGATGGCATGGATGACGGTGCCTCTTGCAAAAAAAAAAAAAAAAATCGGAGAAAAGTCCGTGTCGTCCTCGAGCCCTGTCAACGTCGACCAAGTCGCGTTCCGTCGCGGAGGGGCGATGACGAAGGAAACATTTTTTCATGTCGATCCAACTGTGAACCTGCCGAATTCCTATCCAGCCACTTCTTGATTTCTTCGAGGAATCATTCTGCCGAAGTGAAAACCCCCCTCAAAAGATACACCAAGTTGCGAAAGTCCTTGCCCCTTTGCAAACTTTCTCATCTCTGGAAATTTTTGGGAGAGATTTTTCGAGAACTTTCCAGAAGGTGAGGAAAGTTCTATATATGAATGTGGAAACCAAAAATCGTCGTAAACATTATTTAAGCTTTTGAGAAAATGCCGCGACAACGAAAATCTACTTCACCGAGAACGAAGCGATCAACTACTTCACACTTCACATCGTTCTCCTCCAATTGCTCGTCTGCATCAAATAAAAGCGAATACGCATAAAAGCTAGATTTCTACTAGATTTCCACGAGTTGGCCGAGAAATTCCGCTCCTGCATGGCGGCTGCATTCCCTGGAAGGAAGGCCGTCCCACGTACGAATCGTCTTCCTAGGGTACGTGGTGGATTCCCCCCCGAAACTGTAACTGTAAAGAGATTCTGAGTTTTAACGGAAAATTCCCTGATCCGCGTGATTATTCTCTATACGCTTAGTACTTGTAAACTCCCGCTTCCCTTCTTTCCCTGGTTCAACAGTTTTCTGCATTTAGTGTATACCTTACTGTTAACCAGTAAGAGGAATTATCTCGTTCCGCCAAAGCATCGTAAATGTCATTTTCCTGAATTCTTTTTTTTAGTGTAGGTTCTTCTGTGTCACGATGAGTGTCACAAGTTAGAACACCGTGCATTCACAAAAATCTACCTTGTATTTCCATCGATAATATCTGGGGGTACAGAACACACATCTCTGCTGAACTGGCACAGAGAAAAGTGCGACTGAGACAAAAACAGAACAAACGCACTTCACTTGCCATCAAATGTGAAGAAATCACAGTAAAAATTAAAAAAATCTTCCGGATCACGAGGGAACCGGCGCGTCACTGCTCACGCTTGCATCTGACTGATTGGACTCGGATGATGCCAGCTCCAACGCCTGCAGCAAGTCCTCCATTCGCTTCTTCACCTGCACACGCCATGGAAACGGTGATTCACTCTTAAAAGTCATCTTTATTATGCATTCATTAAGAGCTATTTCTGATCTCAGTTCCATAGGCTAAGTTCCCATTTATTTGCTAAGAGCAGGTCACAACATTTCAACATTTACTTCCCTAATTTTCCCACCAGGTAAGCAAGTTCACCAAGTTTAAACCAAAAACTAAAATATTAGAACCGGCAGTCAACCAATGTCTCTCTTTCTGCAACTTTGTTTACCGATTCCACTCAAGGTTTAGAGAATTACTCACCCTGGCTCTTATACCCCATGTCATCAAGACAGACAAATGCTGGCAAGATACCAACAAATCTTAATTTTCCAACTCAGAATCAGGAGTGTTCAAGGTGTGAGCAACCCCCAATATGCTTTAGCTGCAGATAAAGTCACTGAGCCAATAATAATAAAAACTTGAGCAGCTGAAGATTGGACAAATACGTAAACTGCAATCGTTGAATGCAGACAGTGAAAAACGCAGATGGTTAACAAAGTTTCCCAAAGAGTAGGCAAGCTGGTCACTGCCACCCACTTTGGCCCATCAAACACTGTCTCTCTGGTAGGAAAGTGGACCATCCACTTCGTTTTTGTTAGAGACGCAACGATATTGAACTATGGCCAATATCCGATGTATGAAAAAAAAAGCCATCTGTATCCACACATCCCTGCATTAACCCCTCCATTGCCGAGATTTATTTAGGACCAAGTCTAATGGTGAAAGCGTGAGGTGCACGATTCCAGCAGTGAGAAGAAATATGTTGTTGGTGCTGAAGCCAGGCTCTTCAATTAAAATATTACATTAGATTTACATTAGACAATTTCTTCACTGTGTTCCATTATAGAACTTGCAAGAAGTTGGAACCCCGGGTAATTTTTTTCAAGAGAAGCACTCGGTAAAAATTATTTTCTCGAAGTTCCCTCTTTCTTATCTTCTCTGGAAACCCAGAGGAACACGACTGACATATTGTCAACCCACCATTAGATGATTTGCCATGCGGATCAAATTTGATCATAACTGTTGTTGAGGAAAGTTTCGAAGGCGACTATTCATATTTATAGATATAAAGAAAAAAAATTATATTACAAATCAATTGAGGCTGGACCCATGTATCGATTACCACCGGTATGAGCTGCCGATGCTCATGTCCGAAGGTGGGGCAACAAAAAAAAAATTCCGCGAAAGTGAGAACGCGACAAGGCGCCGGCCCTCCTGTCTCACTGAAAGCCACTCCTGCAGGCCTCTCCCAGACAAAAATAACGATCCGATTATATTTCAGCCCAATTGTAGTAACTGGCGAGGGGAAATAACAGTAAAAACCTGAAAATCTGTTCCTCCTTATTAGGAGGAACTGATTTTCGCATTAGCAAGAGATGTGTCGTTAAACGCTCTTAGCGGCAACAAGAGGTTACCACCGACGGACACAGACAGGCTGGACAGGATTAAAAGTGGTCTCTATCGTTTTCAGGAGACCCACTGATAGTATCGCAAGGTTTTCAAGTACGACTATTTAAATTCTATACCATGTCTTGTTACTTTCTTCTCGATCCATAGACCAAAATCGGCCATCGGTTCATCAGCTAAAAGCGGTCATCTGTGTAGCCCTGAAATTAATATAAATGAAATTAATATAATATATTGAAAATCGGCGGTTCCGAATGGAAACTATGGGCATGAAAGGGTTGTCATCAGACCATTGTCTAGCGATTTGTATACCAAATTTTTGGGAACCACCTAGGCCTGGGTTAATCGCGCGAACCCTAGCGATGTCTATGATAGCAGAAAGCATGAAGTAGGCTAAGGTGGTGGGTGGTATTAGGCCGAGTTTGTTACATTATATTAGGAGCGTTAAATGACGTTTCCATCTCTCTCGAGTGAGTGACTCGGTGGGTCCTTTGGAACCTTGGTTCACGTCGCAAGGGACCTGGGTTCGAACATAGCCGAATCAGGTGTATATTTACGAGCTTGGGTAGGGCAACTCCTTAGCACGGAATGTTCCCATCTCTTAAAGAAGACTTAGAAGAACCCCGGCAGTGAAGGTCGAACCCAGATTAACAGCTTAGCCCAAACTGAATTTATGGTACCGGGGAGGGAGGGAGGGAGGGGGGGGGTTAGCTGGTGCTCTTGAGTCTGGGCGCAGTTATGGGCCAAGAGCCTCCTTGCACCTCTCATTTCCAGCCCAAAGAGAAAAAGAGCCAAAATTTTACATCACACTTTCCGTAAGATATCTCAATCGATGGATACAACGGCTTGAAGAATCCAATTTTTTAGATCATCAGGTTAGTTGGCAGGGGGAGGGGGGGGGGGAGGTGTACACGCGATCTTTAATAAAGCCCCATTTTACAAAAGTCCATTAGCGTCAGATCATGCGATCTGGGGAGCCGCGGTTTTGGACCATCGTCCAGGTAGCTTTTCATTTAGGAAACTGGTTACAGACTTGTGGAAGTGTGGTAGAGCTTCATCTTGTTCTTGTTACTGTTACTGTTAGTTACTGTTTCCACTGATATTATTCATCAGAAATCGATCAGAAATTGATCAGAAATAGTTTGATCACAATACATTTTTGAAATTGTATATTTATGTTATAATAACCCTGTATTGTAACATGCCTCGAGAATTCATCGACCATACAATAAAACGTCTTCTTTTAAAATTGTGAAAAATAAATAAATAAATCAAGATCGAGTGCAATTTTACACCAAATCGAAATATTCATACACCTTCGAAACGAGATCACGAGATTACCACCAACGCAGATAATCGGACATGCTATCATGCACGAACCTAACCACGAGGGCATGTATGTTGAGAAATAGCCACCGACCTCTTCGAGGGAGCGCCCATGGAGAGCCGCAAGAGCATGTTGAAGGCTGGCTTCGGAGATCCCTTTCTCCTTACAGGTGGAGAGGATGATCATGTCCTCATTACGGCTCCACTCTCTATCCTTCTTCCCTGGGGTTCGATCTTTCTTCCCACATGCAGGTACCTCCTCTGACGGCAACACATCTGGGCCCTGCATTCATAACACCACGACAAGAATGAAATCCACACTGTTGCACATACCAGCATAACCCCAAAGGCAAAAAAAATTCAAAGGAAGTTCACAAGATGATTCAGTTCCCTTGGAGGAGTATTAATTGATTAGGACAAATCAAATAAGGAATGGCAAAAAGTCAGACTTCTACATCTAAGTTTCAGTCCATAGGTTCATATATCAGGAAGTCTAGAGGTTTTTACTAGTGCAACTCATCATTTTATCGTGAATGACGTTAGTGCAAATGAGAATACACATGCAATATTTATGCAGAATTAGGAGAGAAACATGTAGGAGGACAATGTCCCACACCAATCATGGGCAAGTACTAAATGGTGAGTCCACACAATATCTATATCATTTCCATTTATGGGAGGCCCAGGATTGATTGGGAGCAATTTCAACCATTGCTGAATTTATCTTGATAGTAGTAAAGAAATAAATAATAATAATAATAATAATAAAATGAATAAATAACAAAATTAATGATAAAATTAATAAAATAAAAATGAATAATAAAATAAATAAATAATATATAAAATATATATATATAATATATATAATATATATAAATATATATAAAAATATATACATAAGCATTATGAAAAAATGAAAAAGGAGTTGAAGTGGTGGAAGCATCAACCAATACCCTCATGTTGACTAAAAGGCATCAAAGAACTGAAAAGCCTGACCTTGGCAGTCTTGGCACTGACACTCAGATAGTCTCATTCAGATTAGATTCTAAACCAAATACATGTGGGTATTAAATTCAGAATAAAGCAAACCTCTATAACTCACCAGAATATTGCTCTTGCTGGCACGTTTTCTGCCCCGAGCCTCATCCGATGGAGAAGTGTGACAGGCGAGAATGCACCGCATGTCGTCGGCATCCAACGCCTTCAACTTCTTGTCCGACTTCAGGCAGACCTTGCCGTCGACGAAGCGGATTCCGCACGGGACGCAATGCTCCAGACGAAGTTGGTATCGTTTGATGTCGCATTCGTGGCACTTGCAGGGACAATCCAGACCACCGTACTTGTCTTCGTACACTTGCGGGGGTAGCTTCAGGATCTCGTAGCCACGGGGCTCCGGCATCTCCACCGCGTTTCCCTCGTTGTCGAATGACAACGGCAGGTCCTCGTAGTCTGTGAGCAACCTGTGAAATGAATTTATAATATAAAGATCTAGGAAAAAGCATAAAATATCAGTAAAGATAACAGAAATTCCTCAAGGAGTCTAAAAAAATTTTTACATTTAATTTTCCCAATCAGGTTCTTCATTGTTTAACTACAGATTGATAAAGGCTCAGAAGTGGAGGCAACATTGGTGTCTCAGAGGATGAGCAGATCTTAGTACATGATAAGGAAAGGAAGTGAGAAGCAGTTTTGTTAGACATCCATTCTCTTCATAAAAATTCAAATGTAAAAATAAGTCTAGTGGAACATGTCTCCTGCCCTTTTAGAGAATAATGTATATGGCTCATTTCCATGTACTACATTCCCTGTTTGGATTGTCCTAGGCTAAGAATTTACAGATGAGTTGTAAGCATCTATGTTAAAAGCATGATGTATGGACCTCAAGGGGATAAACTAATCAAAAATTAAATTTAAAATGTTTGCCTCTGCCTTGAATTTCACTAAAAGTGAAATCAGCCTTTTTCTAGTTCTTGTCTGTTTTCATTAGCGAGAAAGCAACATTTCCTTGATATTTTTGGAAAAGTAGTGAGAATAGGGCAAAAGACACAGATAAATTGAGATATCAACTTGCCTCTTTCCAACTTGGAGAGGATACTCAACAATAAAAATGCAGAGAAACTTGAATTCAATTCCTGACTTAATTGAAGGGAGATATGTTACAGTACAAAGTTACAGTTAAATTTGATTTAACTGTAACTTTGAAATTAAGTCCAATTACAGAAAAGTCTGACTTGATTTGGCTATTGTATTAATAATAAAACTTCATGAATGTGATGATTCATGGCATAAAAATTGCTTCTAGGTGGAAAATTGTTTATATGTTCTGGACAGTAGGCCAGACCAATACTTACCAAAACATACAGCATGAAGAAATCTTAGAATGACCTTTCCAGTTTTCAGAATAGAAAAAAAGACTATATACAGTTCATGTTTAAATCATCTGCACACATGTGCCAAAGCAACTATCCTGATCACAGTTATTTCCTTTGGCAATTTCCATCTACAACAGAAAAAAGGAAAACAAAAAAAGTATTGGTGAAATAACCATTCACAGCATTTTAGGTTGTGGGGTAAAATATCTGCAAGCAAATTGAAAACATACTGGTTACAGTTGTGAATCTATAAAATGGATGCAATATTTTCAGAGGAATATTAAAGAAAAAAATGCAAGAGGATGCAAGGATATGAATGCAGAAATGATCTATGAGGACCTTTCAGGGGGTTTCTCCTTAGGCAGGAGCAAAAGAAACTCTTCAATCAGATACTGATTCCCCTTTAGGAGTGGGAGAACAGCCTTCTTCAACTGTTCATCAGAAGCACAGGCCTTTTTAGCTTGCATCAATGTCTTGGAGATTTTGTGCAGATGGGATGGCTGTGATGCAAACATAACATGTAGGGAAACAAGGAAACTGTGGACACGGTTGAGGAAGAGCAGGTCCTGGTAAACGCCACATTCCATCGCCTGTTCTGGAGTCAAGAATGCAGCAAACTCATACAGGAGGTCCGGGTGAGGGCGCAGGACCCGCTGCACTTCCCTGTAGATGTCTCGCACGGAGCGGGACCCTGTCTCGAACTGAAGGATGGCATCTTGGAGTTCCTTCATGGCCAACCTGTCGAGGTTGGTCCTCAGCTTGTCGTAATAGGCCTCAGCAATGACTGCCTCCTTTTCCTCCTGATGAGCAGGGTCCATCGTCTTGTTCAGGATCTCCATCGTGGTCTTAGCTTCACGGACCTGCCGCACTGATGCCTTCTTCTTGCAGCTCTTCAATGTCTTTGGGGTTGAGATCACCATGCTGGCCTTCATGAGGGCAGCCATGTTCTCATGCACCAAGTCGGTTTCTTTTTCTGGCTGCAGGGCATCTCTTTCCTCTTGACTCAGTGACTGCTCATCAGCAGTCCCTTTTCTTGACTTGTCAGCAAGGTCTGGTTCCTGTGTTACTATGCTTGTACTAGGTGTGACTTGTTCAGAGCTGGGGGTATTTTGAGATTCAGTTAGGAGAAGCTTGGACCCAGGAGTTGCAATTGTCTGGTTTACAATGTTCTGCAGACATAATGACCCTTGATCCTTTACTGGTGTTGCCATGGAGATGATTGGCATGGAAGGAAAATTTTTAGGAACACTCAGTGTTGCCACTGGCTCTGCTTTCTCACTCTGTTGCATACGAATCGTGATGCAAGGAATTATAATTCGCTGCACTGGAGAATTTGCAGGATTATTGAGTTGGCTGGAAGATTCCGCAGGGCGAGGACAGATTGGCGGTAAGTTGAATATGAGGGAGCGGGCTGCCTGCGCCCGAGTGCGAGACCGTGTCTGTCTTCGGTATTTCTTTAAGATTGGGGACACGGTCTTGGCGGGGCTTATCCAGTTGTGTGGGGATGGGATCGATGGAGGCTCCGATGCTGACGTTCCGACGGGGAGAGATTTCGGTGGTGTGACGATCACTCGTGCCACCAGGGCTGGCATCTTCATCTAGAACAAAGGATTCAGTTAAATGGACCAGAAACTTTCAAAGGCTCACCAACCTGGCAGCACTACCATCACTACACTGTCATTTCTATTCAACTCACTCAGGATCTAATGAAGTATATTCAAAGAACAAGAACAAATCCTGTACTCACCGATCCAGGCTCACCAACGGCAGGTTTGGGTCGGATGAGGCCATTCACTCGCTTCTCCTGTACGATATGCGGACGCCAGATGCGGGGAAAACTGGCCAGCGGATGGAGATACAGGGGAGAGAGTTCCTTGGACCCCATGCTCTGCAAAGGAGTCCTCAGAACTGGCACTCTTCCATTCTCCAGGAAACACTGCAAAACAAGAAAACCCTTGACATCCATGAATGCACTGGGGTGAATGCTTGGGCTTCACTAACAGCTTACCTTAACAGAATTGTTACAGTTGCCAGGTCTGGTACAAAGGTTCTTGATCCGGAGTCGAAGCTGTCGCACGGTGCGGGACGGGAGAAGGAAGCGTCGGACGAAGGGAAGAGCAGCGTCTAGCTCGCTCCCCTTCGAGCACAGTCCCTCCCGCTCCACAAACGGCACGAACTCCGACAAGCCGAGGGCGATGAGGCTAAAAAGACATGGCATCTTCAGCGGCCCAGAAATGGAAATGAGCTAGACCCTATGCTCCACCTTCCTCTTAGCCTGACATGAAACCATGAAAAGGCAAGCATATGTCCCAGAGGTGTGCATTGGTCCAGCAATGATACAGTTGAGATCAAAGATTTCTCAAAGCAGTAGACAATGCAGCCTTGTCAAAAATTCTTGCAATTACTAATAAGCAACTGAAAGGATAAAGCATCAAAATGATTACTGTCATATTTCTCACTTAATACCTAGAAATTGCAACTTAGAATGCCCATCTTGATCATTAAATCAAATTCATAGACAACAAGCTAATGTCTCATTTGATAGGTACACACAGGAGCTGCAGAGCTGCAAGCTAGGAGTCATAGTTTGAAACAAGAATGCTGCAAGTAAGGAAACCCTCAATGCTCAAACAGTTGGGCAATTGCAAGATAAGGCCAGAAAGAAACCATGCAGCTGACAGCACTTAATTCCTTCCAGTTGATTCTTGCCACTACCACCTCTTCCTGTGTTACACTCATGAATCATTTCCAATGTCCAGTAAAAATTAAGGGAGCAACAGGTCCAATGCTTGTACACCCTGGATACATCTTTGATGAACCAGAAGCAGTCAGAAAACTTGCTTCCATTCTCATACTGTTCTACAATATATTTTTTTTTAAATTAATATTAATGGGTCTCACTGTAAAAAATCTTACTTGAAATAAAAATGCCAAGAATTAAAGAGTAGGCTTAGGTTCTTATCAAGTCAGAAAAATAACTGGATTGATGGAACCCTTTCATTTCAATATTCCTAATTTCCTTCAAATCAAAATTTGAAAAAGAACACAAACTTATATATACCAAATGAAAAAACCTTAGAATAGCAAAACAGATTCCATGCTATGAAAATTTGTGAAAATCCAAGATTAATGACATACCCAGTGTGAACAATAAAAGGTCCATTTTTACATTATATTTGAAAAAATAAATGAAAAAATGTTGTAGGTGGGTGGGTGGAACCGGTTGAAGAAAAAGACCAGAGGATAACAGATCTATGGAATCAACTTTGATTATGTGAGAATTAATGAAAACATGAAAAAAAAACTTATTTGTTCTACATGCAATAAACAAGAGGATTTAATATGCCCATTTCAAATTTCTTGCAAAAAAAGCATAAGTTTCCACAATGGGTCCTCTCAGGAATGTTATACAGAGAGTCCAAATGGCATGGCAACAACCTAGGTTCAAACAGAAGCAAAATGCTCCTTGACAAGAACATGAAATTTGCACCTATCTAATTTTGAAGCCTGTACACTACACACCATTGCAACTTTGTAGGCATGTGAATGGGGTTTCCACTCTCTGCACCAGTGTATTTCAGACACATGAGCCTTTTGTGTGAATAGCTGAGAATGTCATGGTACAATGTAACTGGAGAATGCAACTTGTCTTGGCAAGGGCTACTCAATTTACACCAAACTTAGGTTCTATACTTTCCGTGCAGGAAGGTGAGGATGAAACAATTTCCCCCACAAGTGTGAAAAGAGGATACATTTTCTGGTAGGCAGAGTTATGGAAATCCCTCACAATGGCGTCTACTCCCGACCCTGAGTTTCAACCAGAGAACCCTGAAATAATCCCTCAATCCAATGGATCCCAGCACCATTGGCCCCACTCAAATGGGTTGAGCTCATTGAAGTGTGGCTCACTCACTTGTCCTCGGCCGGTAGGAAGGCTCTCGTGGCGCTGGAGGATAGAGGATTCACCCGGAATGCAGGAAGAAGGGAAGGGTATAGAAAGGCCTTCGATGTGGACATCGTCTGCGCCAGCTCCAGCGGCAGCCTCAGTCTCCCCTTTGCATTGATCCTGTCAAACACAAAAGTCAGTCAACAACCCCAAAATCCACTGAAATTACAGGGGGGCCAGAAAGTTCCTGAACGCTGAAATCAAATATTTCATTCAAAGTAACAATAACAAGCATTTTTACTGACTGGAAAATATGATACAATAAACAATTTTGAACTAATATAATCATTTTCAAAATGTCTGCCCATTTTTTTCTTGAAGCACTGTCAATCATTTTGGGAACTGGTCAATGACTGCATGCAGCATTCATGATTGTGGAGCAACTTAAATCCATGGCCTTAAAAAAAGACATTTGGACGTGATATCCAAAAACTGACTTTTATATGCAACAGAGAAAAGTAAAACGATTTTTAATAAATGCTCTCTGCAGAAAAATTAACATTCCCCCAAAAGTAACTGCCCTTTGAAAAGGTGTCTAGGAAATTTCTGGTCACCCTGTAAATATTTACAACTTCAGCCACTTCAATTACTTTCATATCTTGCAACCTAGTTACCTTCTCCTTTTCTTCTGGGGAGCTAGGACCTTTGGGAGAACAGATGGGAGCTTCCAGTCTTTGACCAGCTGAACTGCAGGTTCCAGGTTTCTGATGTGATATATGGAAGATGCATTCTCTTTCCTCGATGCAGCGAAGCTTGACAACTCCATCTGCAAGAAATGCATTCTGACTTTTTTCTTCCTGTCTTTGGCATCTGCACACGCCAAAAGATCCACAATGCAGTCCAGAAAAAGACAAAAAATGAACAGACCAGGTGAGACCTGGCAGCATTAGTGGTGGGACAGGTGGAATCCGACAGAGAGGAGATGAGGAAGGTCTGGCACAGAAGCTGGACATGCTGGCGGAGCTGAACCTCGAGGACGGTCAGCTGTTGAGAGGTGAAAATCACAGAATCCAGTGGTGGCATTCCATCATCAATGCATCCTCCTGCCTCCACATCTGATCCATCCTCTTCATCAGATCCTTCAGTAGATTCTTCCCTCTCCATATCCTCGTCCTCCTCATCTTCGTCTTCTTCATCTTCTTCTTCTTCCTCCTCTTCATTCTCCCCTTTCTTCTCCTTACCCACTCTGCTCTCTTTTGGCATGGTATGTCTTTCTGCACCATATCGACAGAATACACAACCATGAATATGGTGTCTCTCTTTGCTAAATGACAGATGAGCTGAGAATGTAGTTCCTCTTACCTTTTCCATCACTGCTGTCTTCAGATGAGCTGATCTGCTTTTCTTTGGATCTGAATGAAGCCTCTTTCTCTTTGTCCTTGGACTTGGTTTGAGTTTCAACCTCTTTCTCATTGTCATCCTCTTCGTCACCGTTGATGGGAGACGTCCGGAAGTAGGGATCTTCCATGAGCTCCTTCCACAGTTCCGTCAATTCCTTCTTGGGTACCTTCACTGCCCGATCATTCCTCACCTCCTCCGGATCTGCAAATTTCGCGATCATACGTGTTGTGAAACACAGCACTTGGTGGGAGCAATACTTCGTTCTGGCTGAAAAGGGGATTCCCTTGAAAAATCTTACCAGGGTCTTCCTGTCCCTCCTCTTCCAGAAAATTGTACTCGGGATCGTCATCCTCCTCCTCCGTCTCCTGGGACTCTTCGCGTCTCGCTTCATCTAGAATCAATCACGAAACCCTCATCTCCTGATCCAATTCTTGCTTTCCACTCACATTCATTTATTCCCTCATTCCCAAGCAATGAACTCAGAGTTTAAATAGTCCCTAGCTTCCAGGAGAATTGGTACACCAGGGAGTGCCATCACATTGGAGAAGCGTGTGGAAGGAAAAGGCTGCCGAATCAAGATAATATCCAAATTATAAGTCAGGCAGATTAACTCACAAATTTCTACTTGATTCACGATTGAAACTTAACCTATGGTTTAGTCTGTGGGTTTGATACATGATTCAAAATCAAATGATTATATATAACATATAACAAAAATCTCCATTTTCAGAATGTAAAACAATAGTCTACATCAGCAGTGCATAACCATTTTCCCCTTGAGGGCCAAATTGAGATTTCGGCTCATGTTCATCCTCAGACTTGAGCCAAAATAGGCCACATATAAATGTGGATCTTCAGAGACAGGAGGCATCCAATGGGCTGCAAAAAGGTATCTGGAGGCTGCATATGGCCTGCTGTCTGCAGGTTGTGCATCATTGATCTACATGTTGAATGTATTATGTTACTTACTTTTATATATAGATATCAGAAGTATACTTTGGATGCCCAATGTCTTGGGTCAACTTGTTGGAAACTTCAATCAGGCTATATGTTATGAGAAAACAAGATGAAAACCACCAGAAACTCAGTACCAATCTTACCTATGCATATGACAGTTGATGAAACAACACACATTCCATAAGTTTGGAAGCACCTCATGCATCTTCAACAAAATGGAGAGAAAAAGAGGAAGATGACATCTTACACGAGGTGAGTGCATACTCTCGCAAGAAGTTCTTCCACTCTTCGTCCTCTTCCTCGAGGCCGGACTCGTACATGTCGGCCGAGATGTCCGGGGGAACGAAGGACCTCTCCAATGTCTCCAGGCTTGTGTCTTGCAGGGGAAATTTTGATCTTGTCCTCAGGCCTATCCACTCCTGTTGTGATTGACTACATGTGAGACCCTTAAAGCTGCCTTACCTTAAAGTCTTATGCATTACCACAGAAGAATAGCCTCAGCTCACTCTATCTACTATAATAAGTTGAAGGGGAAGCAAGGCATGTAGGAAGGCAGTCTATATGCGAAAAATAATAACAACCTTAGTTTCTATGTATTCCACACCTGTGGATTACATTAGGACACTAGCATGTACTCACTTTTTCAACTTTCATAAGAATACAAGTACAGTTATCTTGAAACTACAGTAATTAATATTCCAGTTCTCCAATGGAGTCCTAAGTGGTCAACTTGCAATCCACAGATGACTTCAATGTCCATCCAAGTAAAAAACATATTAACCAATGTTCCTAAGAGCCTGGCATTAGCAAAAAGAGAAAAATCTAACCTGGTTGAATGAACTTTGGAAATCAAGACATTTCCTAAAAGAACTCTGAGGTTCACGAAACACTGCCTCCTGCGATGGTTCGTCGGTGGCAGTCGATCGAGGCGTCATCACGACAGGTGACCCGATGTCACTTGCAATGCATGATGAAATTATGCTTTGTGTCTCCTCATCACTTTGATCCTGGGCATATAAAAAAAGGAAAGCTTGTAACCAAGTTACATTGAGTCAAACCATGATAACACAGACACCCACCTGTTCAGGATTTGGCTGATACTCTTCGTCGTCCGTTTCGTCCTCCGGGTATTCGTTGGTGAGGAGAGCAGTTGTCGAATCTTCATCCTTCCCTACCACTCTCACCTCCCCCTCTAAAGCCTCCTTCCCTTTCATCAGTTCCCTGTGATACCATGGAAACCCATCAGCATGCACAATTCACATCAGACCAAAGCACAATGAGTCACAACTCTCACTTGGCTCTGGCCCGGGTGAGCTTGGGCTCCCAGACGAGCACGGACTCGTCGTCCTCCGAGTCTTCGTTGTCGCTGTCCCATTCCCCTTGATCCCTGAGAGACTTCTTCACCATGGTCAAAACCATTTTGTTGGTCAGAACATGCTGCAAATAATGGAATAAAAGGTTTTGTTCTGCCTTTGAACCGCTACAACAAACCTACGTATCATGAATAAAGCCTACCATTTCCAAGATCTATGACTCAAAATTAATATAAGAGTTCCACGGGGATGTGAAACAGATTTAGTCTCATTGCCCCTATATCCTCAGTAGTCCATACACAGTGCCACCTCCCATCACATCATGAATAGCATTTTTAGGAATGCTGGAATCATCACCAGAAAAGGAAAGAAAATATGCAGACAAACACTTCCCAATCTTTGCCTTGTATTAAAAAATACACGACAAGGTTGGCTTTGAACCAAGGTCCTCTTTAAAGACATCTAAGCTTGCTACCACCTGAGCCACATACCAGTTCCAAAAGTATAACCCTACCATGAATTTTGAAGCTGAATTTAAGACTGCAAATGTCAGTCAGATGAGCTGACTAGAATACCTCTTACCACTTTGCTTCATTTGAACGTTTGGAATAACAAAAATTATACAAATAATACATCTGTTCCATTCTAGATAGGGCTGGAATTATGATGTTTCAACTTCATACGGTTAGTTACCAATTTATCAGAATGATTAAAAAAAACATATTTTAGCTTTTGAATAAGGCTATCATTTCTATTACTGCATTTTTTTAGGCTTCCACATTTTACAATGATTATACCTAGGATTTTTTCTAATTATGTGCAGGTGGGAAATGGATAATCAGAATCAAATTGACTGATTAATGATAAAGAGAACAGGGGGAGTTAAGCAAGTGCAGAATGATAACTAGGCTAACAACAAATCTGTAAAGAGCAGTTTTCTTCTTTTCCTTCCCCTCTCTCCTGCAATAATGTCTCCCTCTCAAGTATATAACACAAGTATGAGTGAATAGAACCTAAAATGCCACTGATGATTCCAGGTGTGAACCAGGACCTAAATTTTCACCAATTAAGGAACTGACAGCCAGCAACTTCCAGGGACTCAATAATCATCAGACAAACCAAATTGCTCAAAGAATCATGGGCAAACAAATTTGGGAACATAATCTTAAGAGACTATAATCCACTTTTTAGGCCTAGGTATCATAAAGGTGCTGAATCTCACGTGTAAAATGGACTTGACATTTCGGCGAGTGAGATTTTCCTGAGATGCCTTGTCAGTCATGTCCTTATCCATCTTTATGAGACTCTTCACAGGCACAGTCACTTTCCCTTCTCTGGAAAGAATCAAGCATGCGCATGAAGATTTATCATCGACGCGTCGCGACAAATAATAATGTCTCACTCACAAGAGATCCCCATCCTCCACATTCTCCGGATTCACGACCTCATCCAACTTGAGTTTCTTCTTCATGGGGGGCGAAGACGGTCCGGAGCTAGCAGGCCTTTTTTGGCCTTCGATCTGACTTTCCCCTCTGGGCTTGGGCCTCGACTTGGGCCTGCTCCTGCTGCGGGAGGCTTCGTCATCCGTCACGATGCAGAGCCCGCTGGGACTCCTTGGCGTGGAAAAACTTTCCTCGACGCTCAGCGAGGAATTGAGCGGCTCGGGCCTTTCCGGCTCAGATTGGTCCTCACTTTCCATCGCTGCCGATTTCTCGTGGAATTACCTCCAGAACTATCGATACAAATATCGAAAAGTAATCTCACGCGTCAAGTTCTTCTTGGAAGATGCATAGTCAAGAAGCATCACGTGAATTCCCGCTTTGCTCCCTGCACCATGGAAGCCGCCATGATGATCCGTGACGTCAGAGAGGTCTCATCGGGCTTCCAAGTATTCCGCGCGGTTCGCGACTCCCCGTCTAGCGTTGCCCTGGCCACTGTGCCATCGTTTTTGTCCTTCCCACGCATATCATCCTTCTCAGTTTGAATAAACAAATATGAAAAAAGAGTCGCTTACTAAGGTGAACAAGTAAAGAAAGTTCCCCAGGAGCACGTAGGTCGTGAGAAAAGAACAGATGGCCCACCACCTCTACCAGGTTGCAGGCGATCTGCTGCATGCCCCACTTGCCGCCACCTGCCTGCTATAGCGCTAACACATTCCCAAATAGCACGTAAATGGTGGGCCAACAGCTGGGAAGGGTGCTGGTACTCCTATGTATACCCAATCCAAATCTGAGACATGAGCCTCGTCTTGCCAGAGAGAAACATCTGCAGTGGTCTCGCATTACCCGCTTCTGGTGTCTTTCGCAGCCACACAAGGCGCGCTCAGTGGTGTGACCGAACACAATTCCACCACGCAACAGTATTTCCTCTTCGCATTCTACACTTGTCGTGGGCCAACGCTTCTGCATCCCCTTACTTTTCCTGGATGATAGAGGAATCTACTTGATCAGCCTAATAATGTACTCAGCGAAGGGAGAAATTCAACGACCAGCCGTAATCAAGAAGGAATGCGCCTCATCTAAGGATCACTGGACTCTTAAGAGATGGAATCTTTCGGTCCACTAAACTCCAGTCGCCAGATTACGAAGCCGAGAACTGGGATAAAAGGCGGCCGAGAGGACGACTTCCAATTTAAAGTTCACTGTGTCATCATTCACCCGGCTGTTGAGATGGTAATTCACCTCATACAATCAGCGCGGAGGGATTTTCAGACCATCCCTTCATATATATTATTCTCTTGCTGGTGTCATCGGCAAATATTTATTAATGTGTATAGTCTGTCCGGTCCATCTCTGCTCCTTCTGCATTGCTAGTTGTATGGTAGCTCATTAATTTAATGATTACACCCGTGTCCAATACGTCAGAAAACGGCTCACGGCGTAGCCTACAAGCAGCAGGCGTAGGGGTTTCCCGCCTGCTTTCTTTCAAGATGGCTGACACGGTTGGGGCAATGAGCCAAGTGGGTTGGGGATGCCTGGCCCCATGCCCTCGGGGGAGGCACGCCGCCGCCTGGCGGTCGGGTCAAGCGGGAGGTTTCCCCTTTCCCGCCAGAGAAGAGGCTGACAACGAGCTTTTCAATGACACCGATGAGAATTAAAAAGGTAGCAAAAGTTGAACCGGATGGAAAATTAAATATTAAAAAACCGAGGGGAAATCCCCCCTCCACGATCAGCGTTACTAACCCTAAATTGGAATGGTAAAATAACGACAAGTTTCATACTACGGATGGTATTCCGGCGATGCCATTCGAGTCGTTCAGCAGCATTTTGGCAGAACGGAGGGAGGTCAGAGGTCAGATTGTATGGTTTGTTTCAACGAAGCATTTTCAGCGCGAAATCCTTTCTGGATTGGTGCGGAGGAATCTCAAGGTGAGAGAGCAAGGCGTCGATCGCTTCCCGAGGGTTCCTGCGGATGTCATCGAAGTGGACGTTGGTGTAGCGGTTGAGGAACGATTTGGAGAATTCAAAGCTGTGTCCCAACATATCCGCAGTCACCTTACAGAGGTGAGTTATGTTTCAGCAGCTTCCGCAACACCAGACCTCGTCCGACCCGGACCTAAACAGGTCCACCGGATTTCTCCAAACCTGAATGACTTTCAATTCTGGGATGTCGTTCAAGAGAGGACTCAGCTCCTCTATTGTCTTCCGATCTGGTGCTTTGATGACTGATAGAATACTTGGAGCAGAGCTTCCCCGTGAAGGCTTCGTTCCTCACCAGTCTATAACCCCCCTCTTTCATAATTTTTTTTTCTTGTGTGATATGTAAAAATGTAAAATGCAGTTGAAAAAGAAACTCATTTATTAAACGCTCATAACTAACACTCTGGATTACACACATTGAGAGATTATTAAAATATTTTAAGAAAGGACAGGAAAAGTTTTTTCGTTCATTGTGTTCCTTCTTCCTCCGGATCGCCTGCGACAGGTTGCAGGCGATTGCAGGCGATCTGCTGCATGCCCCACTTGCCGCCACCTGCCTGCTAGCGGGCTAACACGTGCCCAAAGAGCACGTCAATGGTGGAGAAGCAGCTGCGAAGAGAGCTGGTGCTCCTGCGTGTAGCCAATCCAAATCTGAGACATGAGCCTCGTCTTGCCAGAGAGAAACATCTGCAGTGGTCTCTATCGCATCACTCGCTTTGGGTTTCTCTCGCAGCTGCACGAGGCGCGCGAGCAGAGGGCGATAGAGCACGATTTTTTCACGCACTGTATTTCCTGCACAGTATTTCCTCTTCGCATTCTGCACGTGTCGCGGGCCAACGCTTCTACTTCCCCTTGCTTGACCTCTACATATGATATAGGTATTCCAGACGAATTTCGGCAAACGTCCGCTCAAATTCGGCAGCGCCAGAGGATCTCTTGTTTTTGGTAATTAATATGAGTATAAGGAATAGGGAAGGAAAGGGCACAAACGCAAGGGGTATTCTGTGGCGAAGTATCATTATTTTATTGTGCAAATGAAAACACATGGACATAGACATTGATTCAACCCATCGATAAGTTCTCTCCTCAGCCGTCTGATCGAGTATGTTCGTGCATGGCGAAACCACGCAAAGCACTTCTGCTGAGTTCTCTGGGCATGTTCTGTTGGTTTCGAGAAAGGTGAATAAGCCGGCACAAACTTGACGCGGACGTTAGGAAAGTCGTCTGGCACCGAGGCTCCTTTTTGGGGGGTCTAGCATTATCTAAGACGACAAACTGGAACTGAACCTTCGAAATCTGCTGCTCCTTGCTGCGAGTCCTCCACGTAGTTCATGTTCGTTTCCACCCTAAAAATAATCTTAAACAGCAAAGGAACAATAGGAACGCGTCACAATATTGACGTTTCAGGAATTCTTTGAGGAGCTCCTGAGACATGCACACATCGTTTCGCCACCAGATCGACCAGTTTAAGTCATCATGGATAATTGTTTGACCCCACAAACGAGCCTCGGTCCCAGATGACTTTCCTAACGTCCGCGTCAAGTTTCTGCCGACATATTCTCCTTTCTTGAATCCTGCAGAACATGCCCACGCTGCATTTCAGGCAGCTGTCAAACGTGAGGGAGAAATGTGAGGGAAAAAGCCACTGGGTGTGCGATCTTTGGTTGTGACGGCCAGGAAAAGGGCCGGAGATGACTGGATTTGTCGGTGGTAGAGTTAGATGCCTCTCTCAATTCCGATTTCGGTCTCCGTATGAAAATACGATCAGGTATAGGGGTCCCAGAGGACTATCGAGTAATGTTGATATTTCGATCATGATCGAAAGGAATACCTAGACCGGGAACTTGTCTGGGAAAGGGGGAAATTTCCCTCTCCTGCCAGAGAAGAGGCCGACAACGAACATTCAATGACACCGATGAGAATTAAAAGGGTAGCAAAAGTTGAACCAGATGGAAAATTAAATATTAAAATACCGAGGGGAAATCCCCCCTCCACGATCAACGTTACTACCCCTAAGTCGGAATGGTAAAATAACAAGTTTCATACTAAGGTGGTATTCCGACGATGCCATTCGAGTCGTTCAGCAGCATTTTGGCAGAGCGGAGGGAGGTCAGAGGTCGACGCGGGTGGGATGTTCCTTCGCAGCATTTTCTCTGCGAAATCCTCGATGGACTGGTGCGGAGGAATCTCAAGGTGAGAGATCAAGGCGTCGATCACTTCTCGAGGGTTCCTGAGGATGTCATCGAAGTGGACGTTGATGTAGCGGTTGGGGAACGATTTGGAGAATTCAAAGCTGCGTCCCAACATATCCTCAGTCGTCTTACAGAGATGAGTTATGTTTTTGCAGCTTCCGCAGCACCAGACCTCGTCCGACCTGGCCCTAAACAGGTCCACCGGATTTCTCCAAACGTGAATGACTTTCAAATCTGGAAAGTCGTTCAAGAGAGGACTCAAATCCTCTATTGGCATTCGATCTGGTTCTTTGATGACTCTGATAGAATACTTGGAGCAGTGTTTCTCCATGAAGGCCTCGTTCCTCACCAGTCTCGAAAACACCACAGGAGTCACCATGGGAGCGAGTTTCATGCCGAAGAGGAATTCCACATAAGGCCAAACGGAAAACGGAACCGAGTTCTTCCAATGATACATGGGAAGATCGGGGATGATCCCGCTAAAGTTACAGTTGTAAAGCCGTTCATAAATGTCTAAATGTGGATGCTCCCACTGCACACCAGATAGCTTGATTTTGGGGAGAAATGGCTCGTGAAAGTATATGGCGGAAGGGTGAGCCGACAAAATCCGGGAGACGATGGACGTTCCGCTTCTTCCGATCCCATAGATGAAGACATGGATCGTCCTGTTCATCGGTTGAACGGGTGGTAGTCGATTGAGCCAGTTCTCGGCCTCCGGTGTCAGCTTCGAATACATTCGGTTTTCCTCCGATTGCTTCAGGTCTGCAGAACGAAGCAAAGGACCGGCTTAGTGCTGAGGGAAGTGAAGTGGAATCAGATTAGGGATCGCAAGCTAGACTATGAAAAAGGTTTTTTTTTTCATTTTTCCTTCACTTCAGGAATGTGACAACAATGTATCCCATTTTCGCTTGTTTCCAATTCTAAGAATGTGCCCCGTATCCGGGTCGATTAGAATCCTGCACGGCCTGATTTTTCAGAACTTGACCCCACCTGCCCGAATCAAGTCTTCGCCCGCACCCGGACGAATTGCTCCCGAATTTCACGGTCCAATCTGTCCTGATCAGAGAAAGAGAATGCCTTCCCATGTTTTCCTGTTTACTTCCTCGTATCTTATTGCTTTCCAGGAAAAAATGCATTGTGGACTTCTATCTAAAGTGACTGAAACTGACCGGACTGGGAGTGCATACCAGATTTGAGCTTTTCATAGTCTTATTCGCATCAACAAACTACCAGGGAATTTCACTTCGGTTAGGACAGGGAACTCAGATAATTGAACTCTCATTCGATCACAAGTCGCACCGGTTTTTCCATTCATGTTTGTAAATGAGCAGATTTTCTCACAGGAGAAAATTTCTTTGTAGAACAAGAGGCAGACAACTCAACGGCATCGGCTCGAAGTAGGTGCCCTTTAACGTCTCAGATTCTGCTAGACCTTTATATATATATTTTTGCTGTTACATTTAAACGATTCGCCTTCGAGAAGTTAAAATGTACAAACGGTCTCGGTCCAGACACAGAATGATATCCAAAGTTCCTGTCCTGAGGCAATATAAAAACGAAGCATCAGAACATTTTGGTCCAGGTCCACCACCCAATCAGCAGCGCATTTGCGGCCATAGATCGACGAATGAGCGGCAGCTGCGGCGCTTCCGCGGTTTTTCGGTTGTTGGACTGAGTGTGGCACAGGAAACTTTTGCAACCTCGACCCAAACTTGGCCGACATGGATGTTTCATGCACATATACAATATACGACTGAAGGCGAGAGGAAACATTGCGATTGCTCTGATGAATACGGTTGCACACTATAATATTAGATACTAACAGGTATATACTATAATTAGTACGTTTCAGGGGTAGATTACTGGATTATCTTATGCCTCCTGTCCATCCATGGGTCAGACACTTGCTTGGGCAAGGGGTCGTGTATGTTCCAGCAGTACTAGTACTGTAGATAGAAAAGTCTCTACCATTGTAGGTTACGGGTTGCTGCAGAAAAAGCGGACATTTATGGAGTGGCCCACACATTCGCCACGTTGGTGCCACGCTTCCGCGTGCAGAAAGACCAGACAGGTTATTTTTGTCAATAATGTGCCCCACGCATAAGCCACACTTGGCCCGCCGATGAGGGTGCCACAGATAACGCAGAAATTTCCGCTACGGCCCATGCACATGCCACTTAAGGCCCATGGATACATGTGTGGGCTGATGTGCTTGGCCCAAGCTTGTAACACGCGAACTTCGGAGATAAGCCACACTTGGTGTGAGGATAAATCGCTGACTGGGCAGATTCAAGAAGAATTTTTTAATTATTATTTTGGCCCCAGATGACACGGCTCGGTTCCAGTGGACCCAATCGGACCGACCCGCAGAACGGGCCACGCTCTCACTGAGATCGCGCCCAGACGCATGCCATCGTTGGCACCCAGGCAACACACCCGCATTCATCGTGGCACAAGTAGACGCATGATTTAGCTCGCCACGTGTATCTCCACCCTCAAGCAATGTCAACCGTGAGTTCATCGCATTCATTGCAAGTTTGTTGATCCGAGGGGCAAGCAATCGTTCGCGAAAAACCAATGTTCTCGAGTGGTAAAACTTTGTACGGTATACCAACGTATCATTCTAATACATTGCTTCCTTCGGTCATTCCAAAAATGAAATCCACCGACTGTCTAAAATCACTTCCATGTCAGAATCGAGGATCTCGAAGTCCATTGTACCTCCACGGTTTCAAACATAAGCAGAACTCTTTCTAATACTTTTTCTCTTTTTTTTTGCACCAGATACCACTTTTGGGACTTATTTTAGGGCTTTATTTTGGAGGGAGGGGGAGTGGGAGTGAGGTGGAACTCTACTGTTTTAAATGGTGCATATTTATAAGAATTGGTGGAGTAACGAATATCGTCCAGGTTGATGTGTCTCTTCAACAGTGAGTCTGAGCCTGCAGAGATAAAAAAAAAGAACAGCTTTGACGTCAAGCATATAATCTCAGCTTTTTGAAGATAAAAACTATTGGAACTAAGAAATTTTTTCACGCATGCTTGTTTCCATGCTTGTCTAAAGAGACATAAAAAACTATGAAAAAAAAACTACATAAGTACCAGAGGAAGAAGCATCGATCCCATCCTTACAAGATCGCATGGGCTTGGCAATCCTCCTTTTTGGCCCCGACTCACTCACACAGACTACGCGAAACACGGACCCCAATCCCAGAAGGCAAAAGGTGATTGGAAGACGAGAACACCCAGACGCAGCGGGGGCAGGCGCACCCGATGGACCGCCAGCATCATCCACCCGGCAGATGAGCGGCTGATTGTCCTCGAAGGATAAGAGCAGTGGGACTCGTATCATAGGAATATTGCACTATTAACATAAGCATTGTTACAATTTCTTGCACAAATTAAGCATTATACTGTGATGGTATTCTGGCGATGCCATTCGAGTCGTTCAACAGCAATTTGGCAGATCGGAGGGAGGTCAGAGGTCGGCGTGGATGGTGTGTTTCTACATAGCATTTTCTCCGCGAAATCATCGATGGACTGGTGCGGAGGAATCTCAAGGTGAGAGAGCAAGGCGTCGATCACTTTCCGGGGGTTCCTGAGGATGTCATCGAAGTAGACGTTGATGTAGCGGTTGGGGAACGATTTGGAGAATTCCAAGCTGTGTCCCAACTTATCCGCAGTCACCTTACAGAGGTAGGTGATGTTTCTGCAGCTTCCGCAACACCAGACCTCGTCCGACCTAGCCCTAAACAGGTCCACCGGATTTCTCCAAACGTGAATGACTTTCAAGTCTGGAAAGTCGTTCAAGAGAGGACCCAGCTCCTGTATTCGCATTCGGTTCGGTTCCTTAATGACTTTGATGGAGTACTTGGAGCAGTGCCTCTCCATGAAGGCCTCGTTCCTAACCAGTCTCGAAAATATCAAAGGAGTCACCGTGGGAACGAGTTTCATGCCGTAGAGGAATTCCGAGTAAGGCCAAATCGAGAACGGGACCGAGTTCTTCCAGTGATACATCGGCAGTTCGGGGATGATCCCGCTAAAGTTGCAGTTGTAAAGCCGTTCATAAATGTCTAAATGTGGATGCACCCACTGCACACCGGACAGATTGATCTTGGGGAGAAACGGCTCGTGAAAGTATATGGCGGAAGGGTGAGCCGACAAAATCCGGGAGACGATGGACGTCCCGCTTCTCCCGATCCCGTGGATGAAGATCTTGGTCGTCCTGTTCATCGGCGGAACGGGTGGAAGGCGGTGAAGCCAGGCCTCCGCCTCCGCCGTGAGCTTCGAATACATTCGGTTTTCTTCCGTTTGACGCAGGTCTGTAGAATGAAGTGTTGCTGTTAGTTGGGGGTGATGGGAGAAGGGTCAATCGGATCGGGAGTCGCACGCTACACTTTGAAAAAGGGGAGCGATTTTTATCAAAAAAGAGAGTAAAATAGCTAACTCCAGTTTCACTCCGGGAAAGGAGCGAATTTGCTCCATCACCAATGAATAAAATTGCTCTCCTCAGTGAGTAAAAGCGCTCCCATCAGAAAATGATAGAGATATCATGCAAATACGAAAATTCCCATATATAATACTTGTCGCTTTCGCTCTCGTACAGGCGATGACCTACCTCTGACAGTACTGATCGCAGTACAGATGAAAGGGAGGATCACCTCTTATAGGTTCCGTATATTACCCGGGATACCAGTCTTTTGCGTTCCAAAAGGGTTCTCAATAGGAATATGAGCTTGTTTAGCCTGGACTCCATGAATATGTCTTGAATATGTGGATAACAAATGATGATCTGTCCGTGTTTATTGATTCCTATAATGAGACTAGGCGAGAC